ATCTGCACAGGTATAACAGTACCAGGCTTCACCAGCGGGGGCAGTATTGACCCAGTTATGATCACAGCCACGAGAGAGACAAGAAAAGCTTCACCTCAGGCTACTGTACCACACCTGCCCCTGGCTTAGCGTGCCTAATCCATCCTGTGTGTATTCACACAAAACTCAGCTCCATTTGTAATGCAGCACATCTACTGCCACGGGGTTGTGGACTGCGTGCTAACTGAAATAGCCAGTCAGGCTATATTTGTGAATAGATTTGCATCTTACTAGGACAACACGGCAGCTTGGCATTCACACACACACACACACACACACACACACAAGCTGTCAAAACGGCACAACATTCCAGCACCAGAGCTCAGAATGATAGCCACGTGTGTCATGGTAACAATCTCCAAGGAGACGCGGAGGAAAATACAACAGGGATGGCTAGACAAGCAAGGGGGGGGGGGAAATGATGGGAGGTGAATAAAGACAACAACAACAATCCTTTTAATGTGAAACATCAAATAAAAATGTGCAGGAAAACTACACATTGTTTAAATATACTGTCTGTAATGAGAGTAAAACCACTAAACGTCGAACGCCACAATGTAACCGACTATTAAACGAAAACAAGTCAAATGTGCTCGAGCGTGGTCTCGCGTCAGAGCCGAGCGGTGACCCTGTGCCCTGTAGTTACATAAACACAGGAAGCTGGGAGCACCTACATTACTCAACTCCTTTCTATGGCCCACAATGCAATTCATTTCCTGAGCAAACATTACACATCCACCCACAGCAGGCTACATTAAGACTATAATAGGTATACCACGGGCGTTCTTACATAATGACACGTCTACTCTGTATCGGTGCACCAAAGCTACTCCTGCGGTTCTTTTGGTCGCGTTTAAAACATCAGATCTGGAGACGAGTGACAATAAAGTCTTGATTTTATTAACATGGAGTGAGTGTCTTTTTCCTCAACACAACAACCTGACGAGAATCTGTCTTGAAGGGATTTTTAAAGGTTTTACGATGAATTTTTTCGTTGTTTCCCTTCAGACTGAAGGAGTTTAAGAGACACAGGATGGGCAGTTCTGCCAAGGTTTGACTCTACGCCAGCTGGGGCACAATGTCCACAGAGAGCAATGCAGTGTTACATTCAGACTAAAGCCGACAGTGTCCTAGTTAAAAATGTGACCTGTATCTATTTTTCTAGTCAATCTGAATACAGAAGGAGCTGTGTGCATATCGTACAGCGGCAAAATTAGAGTGCAATTCATGCAAACTATATTTAAATATTCCATAAACTGTGTTTTTTTTCGTCCTACCTATGCTGAGCCCACACTTGCATGGAAAACACCACCAGTGGAAAGAAAGCAAGGTTACTGAATGAATAGCGGCAGTTGAGTCAAAGTTCTTCAGTGTGCACTATGACTCACATTAGTGTGAAACAACAGGAGAAATGCAGACGTAGCGTATACGAACGGTATTTAGCCTCGTTATTCTCAACAACCTCTTTCAAACGTTGCCTTGATTCAAATTAGGATCAGATCTAAGTGACAGCCTTGAATGGATATAAATACAGACGTGTAGATGGTAATCTGGAGTGGAGAATGAAACAATAGTCTGTGAATATAATGCAGACATGCAGCTTATGGACTTGGAATGGGGAACTAAAGGATAGGTTCACATTTTTTGTAAATCAGATATCTTCCGATTTTTCACCATTTAATGACATTCAATACACCGAAGGTCTTACCAGCAGTGGAGCTGTGAGACGGTCGGTCAGGAGCAGGGAAGCCCAGCCTGGCAGGTGGCCCCGGGTCACAGTCCTCCACCAGAGGTCAGCCTCTGAAACACGAGTCGACAGGAGCAAAACACGGATGACAATCTCAGACCGGAGGGGGAAAAAAAGAGCACATTTCAGGGTCTTTTGCAACCGTTAAAAGTCAAACTGTGGCATTATTACGCAAAAATGGAGACAAAATGCTTCTTTCTTAAAAACACACAAATCCACTGAAAACATTTCCTCTCGTTTGTCTAAAGTACCCGACAGACTGCTTCCTTTTGAGCATCTTATTGTAGGTTCCCTTTTAAACTCGGGGGAGACTCAGTAACATCACACAAAAAGGGGAACTGCAGGTATCATGTGAAGTATGCAACAACAGGGCTGTTCTTGAGTCCTACCTTCCTTGTGAAACATGGGCTGATTGCAGTGTTTTTATAAAACATGGAACAAATAGGTGCACATAAAAAAAAATTAAAAAAACCACACACACACACACACCACTTCCTATTGTGCAACACTTCCTCTGATTCATTTCAGGTTTTTCTTCCTGTCAGAACTCTACAACACAATGACTCAAATCCAGCTCACGTTTACGTCCTTTAATCCAAGGAAAGCTTAAGATTTTGAGAAGGTATAAGAAACATTATTATCTAAAAACATCTAGCTTCTAGCCGAAGACTCGGCTCAGTTTGACACAGTCTCTGTGCGCCACAAGCTCGTTGTTACAAGTCGCTCACATGCCCTGATTGAGAGAACAAGCTCAGTAGACTGTGAGACCGTTAGTACCAAAGGCTCTGCTGCCTTCACCGGGCTGCATACAAATGCAGGTGTTGCAAGTGTTGGTCACGCACGATTGTGATCTGACTTCAAAGCCTGAAACTTTAAACCCACAAGAACAGTGAGAGCTGAGGAAGAGACGATAGGGGACGCAAACAAGACGCCGTGAGAAGGGCAAACTCAAGAGAAGAAAGTGAGGAGTAGACTATATTCTAAGAATAACAAGAGCCCCTAAAATATTCTTCTTATAACTCGTTCTGACGGAGCACTTCCTTCATGCAAACTGACCACAACTTGCTCCTAAATCCATTACAGCTGACATTCTGGGTGACATCTGTGGCAGGGCATCATGGGAGTCAGCTATGAATCAGGCCTACAGCTGGGGGCCACAACATTAGGCCAAATCCTCCCTCGAATAAGCACATGAGGTTACGGTGCATTAGCACTTCAAGAGGAAACTAAAGGACGTGGTGCGGTTCACCAGGAAATTAACTCGACATACAAGGGCAGGATTATCAGAATGATGGAGTCACGAGCATTACAAATAACAAGGGGATTGTTTCCGTAGTGGAAAAAGGTTGGACATTCATGGAAAGATTATAATTTGGGGTTTTTTTTCAGCATTTCATACTTTATCTGTCAAAGAAAAGAAAACAACACTTTTTACAATGTGGTCTAAACATACACAAACATTCACAATTGGAGGAAGAGAAAATAAGAATACCCAACGAGGTGCTTTTGCTTATTCAAACAAGATCTTACAGCCATGTTAGCGGCTCTGTGAGCTGCACTTTGAGCTCAACGCTGGCGCCAACATGCTGATTATTTTAGCTCCACATCTCTACAAAAAGTGAGGAAAACGCTGTGAGTAATTCCTCTCCAGGATCTTAAATCAAAGGTTTTATTTAATTATTAAACACGGCTGTGGCAAACATCAGGTTTGTGGCTTCTCTGTTTATCGGAACACCGTCATCCACCTCGGTGCCGCTGTGGGGAAAAAGACCCACGCAATGAGATCACACTAAAGTGGCACTACGTGCAACGAGGCATCCACTCGTCACATGACGAGTTCTTTGTCTTCAGCAAAGACTTTAAACTAGTCATTTAAATAAAAAGAGGAGAGGAGGTAGTGGATCTGAATTTCAATATCCTTAAAAATCACACAACAAAACTTCAGTAAACTCCTCACAGCATGTTCTTGCTTACCAACACAACTGGTGGGATATTGCTTTATTCCCACATGATCAGAGGCAATGAAACAAACACTGCTCAGTGCAACTCTCTCTGAACCGAACGCTCGCTTCCTGCTGCTTCAAAGGCTTATTTCTCCGTTTTATATTTGTCATTCCGGTAGCTACATACCAGAAATGGACTTGATTGTTTTTGTGTACAAGAAGTGTTTTACGAGGGTGCAACATCTCAAGGACGCTGCTATTAAGAAGGAGCAAAGACGCGTTAAAATCTTGTGCTCTCACATCTTCAGTTTGTCGCAGCAATACGTCAACATACAGAGTACATCCGTTTGGTTTTAATTAAGTCCGCCACATGAAGGGGTCAATAACTATGGGCCAACATGTGTGGGCCTGCTGCACACCGTGTGTGTGCTGATTTTAAAGCAGGCCACCGTAGAATTAATAGGATCCATACTGTATGTGGTGCATGTGTCTCACACACACACACAGAAATCCGCCCAATCACCGGTTTATTTAGGCGAACCTCAGTGGTGTAAACGGGGTGGACTGAAGCAAGTGACACTGGGATAGAAATCAGAGCTTGCTGTGTTTCAACACCACCAAATGAAACTTCCATTGAAACTCAAGTTGCCATGACAACTTGTATCCCCCCCTCCCCCTCCCCCTCCCGTCTCTACCGGTGAGCTGAGATCCGAGGATGGATCTCCATCGAACCCACGGAGCACAGCCGAGCCTCACCATTCAGAGAAACCCTCCACAGATCGGTTACACGGAGATCCTCCA